AGAGGAATCTATATTTAGTCATCTAGTTAGTAATGACTTCTCAATAACTTCCATACTTGAGTTAGTTAACCTACTCCATACCTTCTTAAATGAAGAAAAAAGTAGTAGAAAAAAAGATAGTTTTGAAGAAGGATCTGAAATAGCATCATATTTCAATAAGATACATTCAGATTTCCTTAAAGGCATATGTGATGATTTTCTGATGATTTCTTATATAGGACAAAGGGTGATAAATATAAAGACCTTTCAGACATTATAACATTGATCATTTTGGATTCCAAATATCACTGAAAATCATTGTCTTAAGTAGATTGTGAGGGTTATTTGATGAATGGGATTTTGTTTTAGTCCATATTACAGCTGATTATTTGATTGTTTTTCCCAATTTTTGGTATGCATGTATGGAAGACTTACTCTGTAACTGAAAGAAATTTGCTTTGTCTCAATAAATTATGAAGAAAAAAAGTAAGGGCCAAACTAAAGCCATTTGAGCATCTCCTTCTTACTAAAAGAATAAATACAATTCCTTGGGAATATTGTGATTAGTGCCATACAGCACAAAGAACATAGAAGAAAAAAAGAGTAACAGTAATGAACATATTAGCAAATTTAAAGTTTCTGTTGGTCTGTATAAAAAACAAATTGAAAATGGCAAACAAAAATAGGTTTAACCAGGCAGTTATTAGAAATACAGTCAATGTGGCTTCACACTGAATCAACAAAGACCCTGGGTCTCTGTATTATAATAATTGTCTAACAAGTGACAATGACTTTTTCTTTTATTAATATCTGAATAAACAGAGACCACCAGATGACTGCTGTATTTTATAGGAAACAACAATGTACTTTTACTTTCGACTTTTACTATTCTCTGAAATTTCTAGCTTTAAAGCTAATTTAATTTTCCAAAACCCTGATAATCTAAGCATCCTATGAAACACCATGCTGGTCAACTAAAAGAATGACATTAAACTGAAAGTACCAAATAAACTTGGACTATGTGCTTCAGGCACTTAAGTAAGAACCAAGAAATAAAACTCATCAAAATATAAGAACCAAATATTTAGTGGCATTTCTAGTAGTCTATGAACCTTTGGAACATCTCCGCCAAAGTTAAAAGCAAGTTTGTCACTTTTGCTGCTTATGTCATGTCAACATAGCCCTCTAGGGGAAAGAGTCCAAAAGTCTAAAACTAAATCAAAACAATTAAATGTAGTCAGTTTCAGTCCATAATTAGTAGTTCACTTCTACATACTAATTTTTAGTAATTTTAGTTTTATGGTAAGAATGAGATTATTTTTCCTTTGGAAGAAATTTAACTGAGCGTAACTATACCTACTTCAAAATTATGTTAAAACATTTTTTTTAAAAAAATCATAGAAGAATATGTTAAATGCATACTATTTGTGAGTAGTATAACAGATAATGAAATTTTCAAAGTAAGTGCTTTCAATAGAATTTTTTTAATAATTTCATGTCTATTGATATATATATATGTATATATATACACACACAAATATATTCATACATGTATATTATGAATATATAATACATATATTATATTCTTTAAAAGAATAAAATAACAGAATAGGTGTTGTAAAATAAGTAAATATTTTATGAGCATAATTTTGGCAAAGAAAGATTGTTATATGTAAGTCATATTTTTAAATGAATATATCACATAATAAAAACATCGATTTATCAGAACTTGTAAGGAAATCAATGAATTGTATTCCTTTTCTGAGTTTGAGTCTAGTAAAATACCGTGTGCATATTCACTATTATATCACCTTCATAATTTTATTATTGTTTAGAGTTTATTATAGTTATTATGCATTTATTATACATTCTATTTTCCTAGCATTTCCCCTTTCCCACTGCTAGCATTTTTTTAACATTTTTGTCACATGTACATTTTTCTCTTTTGTTTGATTTTTTCCTTCCTTTATGTGGAAAGAAAATTCTCACAAAAAATTGAGAATTCTTTCCTTTCAACCTGAGAATTATAACTGCTTTTTATAAGAACCACAAATTCCAATTAATACTAGTATTTGGTTTTTCCCTAAAACTTTGTATTTTTTACTTGCCTGTTAATTACATGGAAAAGAATTATCATTTTAAATTATATATATTCTCTCAAGAATGAGATGCTAGATTCTATATTGATGCAACGCTTGGGAAAAGATTTTAAATATGATATAAATAACCATACTTAATCATTTAATCATTAGCTTTTCAAAAACTATCAGCCAGGGTCAAAGACTATCCTAGATAAAAGCAAAATTTACATCTTGAACAAAAAAAATTCTACTTTTTTCTTTAATTTTTAAAATTCAAACAGTTCATTCATGGTTTGATGTCATACACACAAAAAAATCATATCTATCAAATGCTCAGAACATCTGCTGAGGCCAATTACAAATATGAAATAAATTACTCAAGAAAGAAATATATATTTAGAAAACAATCTTAAAGGAACTTGAAAGAAATGTTAAAATTTCCTGAAAGAAGCTTTATATAAAAACCACATTTATTGCAGACAACCTTTCTCAAATTAATGCTTTAAAAATGCAAACATTAAAAACTACAACCCACTTTCTGTAATGATATTATTTAATAAGAATTCAGCCATGATGGCATTAAATTTAAGACTTTGAAGATTTACTTAACTTTAACAGTTTTTTTGTGGAAATTCAGTTTTATTTGATCTGGAATGCTGATTCTGAGGAAAAAAAACATCTTATTTTGATCTTTTAAATAGGTTTGCAAGGATTTTACAGCGTGCACCATTAAAATGTGGATAAAAGCATTAACCAAAAGTCAACACAGTGTCTGCTCTGACTACAAATGTTTGTTTTTCGCTGTATTTCTGCCATGACTAGATGAATGAAAATGAATCTTCCTTGGTATATAAGGTATCCAAGGTCTAAGTAATACACTTTGGAGTCTGAACAAGCCAGCTAGTCAAAGACATATAGAGCATATGTTTATTTATTGAGCACATGGCTAAAACAATAAACAGTCAATTCCTATATTTAGTTCATCAAAGAAATATCTTTCAAAGACATTATGCAAGATAGGTTATGAAAGCTACCTCCCAGAGTTTTCTCCCAAAGGAACACAAGGCTTAGTGATTGCTCAATATGCTTTCAACAGGACAATGGAAAATTCATAGTAGAATCAAGTCAGGTTGAAAGATGTTGCATAGGAAGCCTGAAGCCAGAGGATTAAAGCCAATATTTTTCTGATTTTTTTTTTCTGATTCACATTTACTGAATTCTTGTGATGTCTACTCTGTCAGTTTACATGTGTTATCATTTCTTTCATCTGAATGTATACTAAGGGAACAAATATTTTTTTCTTATTCCTATCCTACTCTTTAGCATTTCTTTTACTTTCCTCTCAGGTTACGGAGTGAATGAAGAAATATATAATGTATTAAATAAGGGAAATTTCATATATACATATATGTGTGTGTGTGTTTATGTGTGTGCATTGTTTTCTAATGAAAAAATTGCTATGGACATGCATTTAATGTGGATAAAAGCATATAGGGTATTCAGAGTGATGCACTGCTTTGCTCAGATAACAAATCATTTCAGTACCTCTTGAATGTTTATTTCAGTTTTATCAATCAGAACCAACTTGGGACCTAACCGCACACATTTTGTTATTTTTGATTTTTTGTTTCCAGTACTAGGGATTGAATACAGGGCCTCACTTCTACAAAGTAAGTGCTCTAACATCGATCTATCTCCCAAGCTCCATTTTCTTATTCTTCAGAGATACCCTCTTGATTTAACTGATGTATCCAACAATTCAAATTAATTATTTTGGTCAAGGTTTGATAATCAGCAGTATTCCCTCATTAACCCCTGCATTCCACAATCTCCAAACTTATTATATGAATTAAGTCCCATTTGATTCATTCAAACATAATCTATTTCTTTGTGAGTACTGGTGACAAGGACATGCTCATTGACCAAAGCCCACATGAGGTAGGAATGAGGAGACAAACTTACAGTACACTGGGATGGAGAGCTGAGGTAAATCAAAACTCACCCTACTCTGGCACTAAGAGTTGTAGTAACAGGGAGCTTACTGTACACTGGGACAGAATTCTGGTAACAGGGAAAGTTACAATTGTGTGGCCTTCAATGCCAGATACCTGTTGTCAGACAAAACGAGTTCTAAGTAGCTTTTAGTCTTGGGAAGTTTGTTGCCGCCTACTGGGTTGAATTATTATATCAGCTATGGGAAGAAAGACTTCCATGTTGACTTGTTTAAAAGTGAAGAGAAAATTAATTTAAGAGAAAATTAAAGTTCAAAGATGAGGGTATTTCATACTCTTCAATAACTACTCCAAAACAATTCCAAGTTCTCCACATGGAAAACAGATATGTTTACATGTCATTGTGTAGTAGTGCTGTAGTAGTTATTAGTAGTTATCTTAATTTTAATAAATGAATTTAGTGAAGAAAAAGTCATCCCATGCATTTTTAATAATAATAGTGGAAATAATGGAAATAATATGCAAAAAAATGCAGCTGTGATACCAAACAAGCAAATAAGCAAGCAAATAAAACCTGCCTTATCACGTTAAATAAATGAATTAAACACACACTCACATACACACACACACACACACACGCACACAGGATGGAAACAAAACAACCAAAGTAAAGATCTGTGCTACAATGATACAGTATATAAGATTATACAATATTTTGTTATAAATGAATTGCTCCAGAAATATATTTTTAGTGAAAGAAATTCAATTTAAAACATTTATTTTTGGACTATAGATGTGTCTGTTAAGAAAACCTTCACTTTCAGTTTAAAGCTAGAAAAGTGTTTTGAGCTGTGTTATACTTTATATCCTGACCTTCTAGTTTATGGGGAAGTTTTCTCAGAGTTATCAGTCGACTTTGCCCTTAGCTGTGAAGATAATGGACAGAGTGAGGCCTAAAATATACAGTTTGGTTGGGCATGGCACTTACCTGCTTGATTTGTGGTTACATTTACAGACACATACTGCCGCGCTCCTGGGCTCAAGTCGGATACTCCATTCACTGCCTCAATCTCAAAGGTATAGTTTGTGTGAGCGAGCAGATCCACCATCATGACAGAGGTGTTTTTCAGGCCGATTTGCTGGGGGAGGTACCTGACATGACCGCCACACTCCTCACAAACCCCTGCATGGGAGTTGCACTTCTTGCATGCAATATAATATGACACATCTTTCCTTCCACCAGTGTCAGCAGGAGGAATCCATTCCAGAAAGACACTAGTTTCATTAACATTTGAGATGGCATTCCGAGGAGCTGAGGGGGGTCCTGGTTTGCAAAGTAAAGTGAGAAAAACATATTTTAAGATGATATTAATGAGGCATCATTTACTACACTAATCCCTTACCTGAAGGAAAAAATAGGTTTAAAATTCATTTTTGAGGGTTACAATTTGTTATTATTTTTGAAAGTCTTATTGCTTTTTTATAGGAAAGGCAGTGCAGTAGGGTTTATGACCTGGAGAAATGATTTAGCTTTGCTTTGTTGTAACACTAGTTTAGTAAAAGCAGACGTTTTGCTTAGTATATATGCAAATAATTATGGATTAAAACTATGTATCCTCAAAAATATTAAGTAAAATGTTATATTTAAAATGTGGTAAATGGGTCTCTGTGGGGATTAAACTGATTATTTCCTCACTCATACCAAGAGGTAGGTAAACATGAAGAATCTACCATGTCATTGGCAAAGGTTAAAATAAGATTTTTCAGTGTCACTCTTGACAACAAGTTATAAAGTAAGTAAAAAGGTAACTCAAGAAACATTATAGATCTCTCTTATAATCACCAATGAAATTAAAAACCCTCTTGAGTGGTGGAACAACATCACCATGTGTGGTAAAATCTCTTTTTACTTACTATTCTTTTCATATTGTAGTCATGTAAGTTGTGAATTTTACTTAATTGAAAGTCTAAAATTCATTTTAAGGCTTATCCTCAAAGGCCTTACAATAGAAAAAGTTAAAAGGATTCAGATTTTGAAGAATCAGCAGAAAAAAGTTCAATCTACAACCTACTACAATAAGAAAAAAAATACATTTAATTAGAATATATTCATAGAATCATAATGTCTTAGACTGGGACTAATATAACTTTTTTAACTTCATGCAGTTACTTCTTAGATGTTTTATCTTTATCTATGTTAATAAAAATTGGTTGTAATTTTAAAAACATATTATATTCATAATCATCTATCTCATCAAGACAGAATATTTCACTAAAATATAGTAATAAAGTTCACACATTGAATAACTTATAGAATTTCTCAAGTGAAGGGTAACATATCTTATTTGAATATTATTTTAATTATTTATGAATCCAATAATTGGCATACTAAAGACAATTCAAATTGATTTCATGATGTCTAAAACTCAATTTTTAGGTACAGTTAAAACATCAGTCAGTTATAAGAGTTTATAATCAGATATCTTCAAAAAGCAAATATATTTATATCAGTTTCTGAGAACAAATTTATGCTTCTTTTCCTCAGAGAATGGAGTATGGTAATATTTAAATGGTTCAAAAGCATGCATTAAGCTACTTACAAGGATTTAGTGAAATTATACTATATGTGCTATTTGTTCTAAATATAAAAATTAGCAATAATTTCTACCTAACATTTCAAGCCATGATTATTGAGGAGAAAATTTTAAAATGATTAAAAAAGCATCCTAGTATTCAGGGAGTTAGCTGTAAAAAAATTGTCATCTAAATTAAAGAAAACCATAACTAAAGAGTTGACTTTATTTCATTTTTTGAAAAAACAATCCCACTATGATGGTATTTATAGTTGAACCCTATGACTTTTTCCACATGTTCAAATTACACACTTCAATGTAAAATTCACTTTTAAATTGCACCAATTAGTTAAGATAGAAATGTAAGTATTATTGGTTATTACAAAATTTAGGTTATTTAGTAGTTTAAAAAAAATGGAAATTTTTAAAATTTGCAATAAAAATGTTACATGCTAAATTTCTAAGAAAGGGATAAAATGTAGCCAAAATATATCTAGTTTATAAACTTTTTTATTTTTTTCTTGCCAAATGAAATATACTCACATTAAAACCATTGTTTTTTTAAATCTATAAAAACATATTAGTCTGACTCTTTTGCTTTTGATTGCTACCACCACACTCAGAACTTAGATGGGACACGTATGCCTCCAAAGTTAAAAATTAAAAAATCAAGTGATGTTAAAAAAATTAAGTGACATAGAGGTAAAAATTAGAGGCTCTATCTTACATAATCTTAAGAATTCCAGTGTCCCAAAATAGATATGATGTGTAACCTAAAGTGAAGCTGTGAGAAGAACCCTTGGTTTAAGTCAATTTGTCAGAATTTTAGTTCTTATTTTTGAAATTTTGCTCTGCAGATTAAAGTAAATTTTTCATTTCCAGATTTTATATATATATATATATATATATATATATTTTTTTTTTTTTCAAAAAAATATTAAAATGAGTCATAATCATAAATTCAACTCCAAAAGCCAAAGGCAAAGTGAAGTTCAAGATCCTGGTCTGAACATCAACCAAGCCATGAAGGGATCACATGTATTATCTAGGGTACTCTGAGTGCAACAAAAAACAGACACACACACACACTCACAATAATCTTTTTTGAGAAGTGCATGCAAAGTCATGCTCTTTTGAAACACAATATTAGAAAATCACAATGGAGATAGAGAAAATGTAAAGCCTACCCATGGGCTTTGGTCCTAAGAGTGCTAAGCAGTCCTTGCCACCAAAGCACAGACTCTCCCTGATTCCCAAACAAAACAAATATACAGAAAGGGAGGCGCACATTTATGCCACAAAGGAGATAGTCCAGGCTGGGCCACAGAAAATACTAACTAGAAAATTAATGAAATTGAAAAGATGATTAAACATGGTTTTCTTTCCTTAATTGACCACTCTATTGACCAGTCAGTATTTTCCTATTATTTGGACTTACTTTTGCTCTTACTAATCTAAATAATTTTTTAAATCTCTTCAACAACCAAATCCCAGACACATCCAATAAAATATATCCACCCAAAAGTGTACATCATAATGTCATTCATTCGGTTGAAGAGAAATTCTTCATCACTAGTAATTATCTAACACATAAAATCATCAATCTTGGGATTAAAAAGAATGATGTTTAGAAACAGGAAACTAATATCAATGATTTAAGAAATTCTGAAATATCTGAATGACTATAAAATTCAGACATTATGAAATTCAGATAAAAACCTTAATTTATGATGTTTGATAAGAAGAAATCTGTACTATTTATGTTTGCAGATGTATATTCAAAATTCAAAAGTCTGAGAACATTTTGGAGAGCAGCTCCAACTTATTAAGACAACAAAGTAAACAAGTCAGGTTATGGAACCTGTACATTGTGAAGAGGGACGGAATAGCATTTCTTCATTTTTATTTTCTATTTTTGTTTCATTTGGTATAGAGACTTTGCTTGTGGAAAAACTGTGGATATATCACCACCAAGCACACAAATGCATAAAGGTACTGTATTCACAAAAATCTTGGGAAAACTTAGACCAACCAAAGCACCCAAATGCATTGATAAATGTGGATGAATCCACTACAAATATGAAATAAAGTGCTTCGTATCTATCTCCACTGATTATGTGATCAGAAAATATGTTATTAATAATAGTTAAGAACACTCACTAACAAGAAATACAACATCTACAGGAAAGCCCTAACATGTTGTATATGAGTCAAATCTTATTATCCTCCCCAGGTGCTCCAGGTTCTTTATGTTTCTGGTCTTCTTTTGTAAGTGACCTTCTCTATGGCATTGCAGCTTAGTGAGGCAGGTTAGGACAGATGAAGGTTTACTATATTTTTTATATAATCAAAACACTGGTTTAGAAAGAAGAGGATAAAAAAGATTCAATGTGAAAAAGGACAGTGGATTCACCAGAAGTCAGGTTTAGCAATGGAGAACATTAAAACAAACAAAATCAAAGAAAAAACTGTATGTTGTGCCTCCGATGTTGAATTTGAAATTAGGGGAAGTGAGTGATTAAAAAAAAAAAAAACAGACTCAAGTTTTTCAATGCTTACTCAAAGAGATTGAAATTCTATAAAAAAAATATGTTGAGAAGATTTAACACTATGCCTGTTTTCAGGGGAAATGTTAATAGAACATAACAGGCTGCATCATGATGTTTCTTCAACTGGTGAAAGTTAGCATCACCAAATATCCATGGGTTTCCTTACTTGTGCATGCCATTGTGGGTGGATCAGAGTCCCTCCTGAAATAATCCTTTTCACAGACACAAGAGGTTGAAGCTTCCTCATGGGTGTAACTGTGAGGTGGACATTTGCTGCAGCTCTGGCTGTGAGGTGAGGCTTTGAAGAACCCAGGTCTGCACACTGTCAAAAGAAATAAGAGACTAAGCTTTTCCCAGGAAGAGATGCAGTGTTTGTTTTGTGAATAATGTATCATTTGGAATAGTATACACAGATTACAGGTAATACAATCTTGGCATGAATTTCAAGAATTTTTCATAAGCTTCTGGATCATAAATATCAGACTCTTCATTCAAATAATCAAATATTTATCTAAAGTATTAAAATTAAAAATGTATGGTATGTACATATATCAATAATTTTATGCCACAGGAGCTTATAAGAAATTATATTTATGTAGACAAATGCTTATATGTATTTAAAACTGAAGCAGTGCTGAGTACAATTTTACTTAATATACTGAAACTACATTGGAGAGCTTCAAGTTATACTATATAATCCTACAAAGGAATGGTAGAGGATATACTAAAAAATTTTATATTAAATAGACAAATTAATCATCAGATGCTAAAATTTTCACAAGTTCTGTTATATTGGAGATGCTGCAGAAATCAGTTTTTCTATCATCCATATGATATTAACTTCAGAAGTCATAGTTTAAGCATTTGTTTTAGATTTTCTCCATTTTAAACGTTTTCTTTAAGTTTCTTACTAATTCAACATTTATATATTCTGAGATCAGTAATATTTATATTCCATAAACACTGTAATGATTATAAATAATAAAAAGCTATGTCTTATTCAGTTTTGCATTTACAGTACTTATTCCAGTGTTTGACTGCAACACGGTTTTAGAAAATGACATGAAATAAATGCATGACTGAATCAGTGAAGAGTATTATTGAGCAGTTTAGAATCATAGGAAGGAGATGTTTGCTGATACTTTTGTTAACTTTTCTCAGTTGGTAGACAGGTAAGTAGCTGGTGGTCATGAAGCCAATCTTTTTACTGTGTGAATTCCAAACATTTTCATATCCTCCTTTCTTCTCAAAAGGTAATAGAGTCAAACTTCAATGTTCCTATTAGTTAGTCTGGGCCAATTAAAAACTGCCAAACTGATGGTTAGAATACATTTTAGCGCTTATTTTACATAAAGCTAATAAACTGCATTTTTTTCCATTTTCAGAATTCACTACATATACTTAAGAGTATTTATTAATTCAAGCATCAAGGCACATTTGCTGAAACTCAAAGGTGAACGTGTATTTCAATAGAAAATTCTGGTAGACATAATGAATTGGAGCTAATTTTCATGTGCTATAAATGATCTGGGGTTTTAGTAATCCATGCTAAGGCTTTTTTCCATCTCCATGAATAATCAGGAATTTGCAAAAATAAGAAGGTACTTTTTCCAGTAGATCTAATTATGGTGATAGTAAAGCCTTAATGCTCTTATAAATTCAGAGAAAATGTGAAGTTATTTGAAAGATAAGAAGAGCTTTTTGATAGTATTAAGGACATTCTTGTAGTAAAATGATTAAGCGAAGATTTAAAATATTATTTTTTCTTATAATAGGATTGCTATAGCAGCCAATTCCATACTTAGCTAAAGTTATCCAATTTTTCTTCTTTTATCCTTTTAGTACAACCATTCTCACACTAAACTCTATTTGCTTTCAAAGGTATGAAATGTCAATCTGCACATTCTGCATATTTGAAATTCATTTATCACTAATGAGACATTCTTTGGTTTATAATGAATGCCATTCAAACTAAAAACTTCATGTAAGATCATATACAACACTATTGTTCAACCCTGCATGGGAGCTTTGGAAACAAGAAATAATTTAAATGTAAGTAAAATGTAGATAAATGTACCATTATGCCCTGCAGTCTAACAAATCTTTTCAAGCAAGTGTGATGGGCCAGAAACTTTGCTTGGTAATAGACTGCAATGGTAAACAAGATAGGTAAAGCCTCATCTTTGTGAGTCTTAAAATTATTGCATTAATAATTACAAATATGATTATCCTAGGAAAGAGAAAGAACAGTGGAAGTGAATATAGACTACCCCATTTAAACAGAAATATTAAAGAAACTTCCCTTAGGAAACAGAGTCTCCAATGAAATTTGAGATTAAGAAATCATCCATTTAAGTCTGAGGTTAGCAAAGGACCATATGAGATAGAGAACACAGAGAGCAGAAGATAGTAAAAATGATAAAGGAGACAGTTGGAACAAAGTGGAAGTCACAAATTTATACATCAAAGTGGGCAACCAGTTCACAAAATAAAGATTGCAATGGTTCAAATTAACAATTTTCAACTTCACAACAGTGTAAAAAGATATGCATTCAGCAGAATCTGTATTTCAGAATTTTAATTTTGATCTTTTTCTGGGCTAATAATAAGTAATAGATATTCTTCACAGTGTGGGCAGTTCAATTAGTCACATCACCTTAAAACCATATACAAAATAAGCTTTGTACTAGATAACTTTGCCCAACTGTATGCTAAAGTAAGTGTTCTGAGCACATTTTAAGAGCATTAGGTTATGCTCTGATGTTTGTCAGGTTAGATGTTTTAAATATATTTTTGATTTATGATATTTTTCAGTTACAATGGATATATCAGGATATAATCCCATGGAAGAAACATATGTATTATAGACTTTGTTTTACAATGAAAATAAGTCATTATAAAAGCTTGACAAACTAAAATTTCATATATTTAAAGTAACTGCATATTTTGAAGTAGGGGATTAATAAGATCAAAGTAGCACTTAGGAGATCATTTCAGAGCTGCAAGAAAATAGATTGGAGAAAGCAAGAACAGAGGCAACTGACACTTTTGTTTTTATATTGGTCGAAAGACAATACTGTTTAAACCAGAGGAGTCTCAACAGATGAGTAGGTGATTATTATTTTTTAAAGAAACAAGACAAAATCAATTAGATTTCACAGCATATTTAATGGCAGAATTAATAAGAAATTATAATAATTACTGTAAAGTGTTTGGATTAAACTGTACAGGAAAATGCTGGTGCTATTTTCTCAGATTAGAGAACATGAGATATAAAAAATGTTTTAGGGAACACAATGAATAATGCTTAATGCATTATTTAATTTGAAGGAGCTAATGAAAGCTAAGTATATGTAAAAAAGGAAGACTACATGATTGAATATTATCAGAAAAATATTGGCAACTAATTTTTCATTGCCTTTAGATTCATAACTCCAAAACCCAATGGTATAAGCAACTGTGTTAGACAATCATTATTGCTATTTTCTTAGTTTACTTTATTTCCTAGTATTAATGTAATTATATTGAGCATCTTATCTTCAAACACTTTAAAAGTTATTTTCCTTCATTACAGCTTAATAACTATATTTTCTCTAAATGGAAGTCATTAGAAAAGAAGAAAGAAAATGTCTAATTTTCCTACCATCAAATATCCAAACTTATATGCAGTTGTGCCCATCCACTCTACCTTTCTTCCTATTATAATAAAAATGTTATTCAAACTGAAAACTTCATGCAAGATTATATACAACATTATTGTTTAACCCTGCATGGGAGCTTTGGAAACAAGAAATAATATAAATGTAAGTGAAATCTAGATAAATGTACCATTCTTCCCTGCAGTCTAACAAATCTTTTCAAGCAAGTGTGGTGGGTCAGAAATTCTGCCTTAGTTCATATCAAGGAAAATCTTGACTTAGAATTCCCTCTATGCTGACATAACATCTCAAATGTCTACAAATATTTTCACTGAAATGAAAACATAATAAACAATTATTATCACTTGATTCCTATCTCCCAGTACCTATTCAATGGTTTTGATCTACTTTCAAACACAAATCCTTAAAATCATTTTTCACAATTATGTGTGTGTGTGTGCATTTATGTGTGTATGTGTACATATATATACATACACACACATAAATATATATATATGTGTATACATACACACATAAATGAATATATATTATATATATGCATAATATATTATATATATATATATTATTCTAAATAACAGATTGATGCTCTCCACTGAAATTACTGTTTAAAGACTGAAATTACCACATTCACTCCTCATCAGCATTTGAAAATGCTTTCTTTTGGGAACCTTCAGTTATTTTCATGACAAAATTCCAATATAATCCACAACTTTCCATGCAATATTTAAAAATCCTTCAAATGTTATCTCCATTCACATTCACTGTCTCCATCCACTCTAACCTGCACCTGAGGAACTTCTCTGCCTCTCAACTAGGGGAAAATATTCTAGGCCCAAAGCAAGAAATATACATAAACTAATTATTTTTAAAAGGCTTGAAGCCCATGATAAAGAATTTGGATTTAATCTGTAGACATTTGGAATTATTTATTTTTAGAGGGAACACTTCTTGTCAGTACTGTGGCCAGGTGTGTTTGGACTATGATGAGAAAATAAAAATTATTTTTCACACCTGTGAAGCTACAAAGTATTGGGAAAGATAAATAATAATCAATAAAAGCAAAACTCACCTTTTACATTTTAATGAAGAAAATGTTTAACAAATAAGTAGTAAAATTTCTCCAAATTCTAATTCAATTTTTTTTTTCAAAAATATAGGAAGATACTGGAACACAGTTGTTTTACACAATGATGTCTGTACCTTACCTAGATATTATTTAGAAAACAGTATTCAGATTCTGTTTAAGATGATCAAGAAATGGGAGACAACATCTTCACTCTATGTTGGTGTTTTATGAGAGACTCTTTTATCAATTTGCAGAAAGGAAAGAAAATATTTTAATAACTAGTTCTATCCATCCAAGCTCATTTTAAACCTATCTTTTTCATGATCTATGAGACAATCAATTCCCATGATTGCATGTTCTTTGCCTCTTCATGCCTCATAATTTTGTACAATTTACTTAGCATCTCTCTTATGACAAGAGCAAATATTTTCCATGCCTTTATTTGTATGCATTCTTATCCCCCACAAACTTGTATAAAACTTCTGGAGAACAAAACCATTCATTTGATTTTTATCACATGTAGCACATTTTCTTAAATATCCATCAATATCTATTGGTGTAAATAGTATTTTCGTGTCCTTCTCAAGCCCAAATGAC